CCGGGAAAACGGGGAAAATATTCCCAGGGAAGAGAGGAAATATTGCCAGGAAACAGGGGAAAGATTCCCCTGAAAAGAGGGAAAAATCTCCCAGGGAATAGGGAAAATATTCCTAGGAAAACAGGGAAAAGATTCCCAGGGAAGAAGGAAAATATTCCCCTGAAAAATGGGAAAATACTCACAGGAAAACAGGGAAAATATTCCCCTGAAAAGTGGGAAAATACTCACAGGAAAACAGGGAAAATTTTCCCCAGGAAAGAGGGAAAAATCTCCCAGAGAATAGGATAAATCCTCCCAGAAAATGTGGAAAATCTTCCTGGGAAAACGGGAAAATATTCCCTGGAAAGAGGGAAAATATTCCCTAGGAGGGAGGGAAACCAACCCAGGAAAAGAGGGAAAAAATTCCCAAGGAAGAGGGAAAATATTGCCAGGAAAACAGGGAAAATTCAACAGGAAAACAGGGAAAAATCCCCCAGAAAAATGGGAAAATATTGCCCAGAAAAGTGGGAAAATCCCCTCTGGGAAAGAGGGAAAATCCCTCAGGGGATTTGGGATTTTTGCCCGTGAACCTACAGGCAGTTATGGGAATGTCCCATCCTGAATTTGGGATTTTTGGGTTTTTGGGGATTTTTTCCCCTTCACTCACAAGCAACTATGGGAATGTCACATCCCAAATTTGGGATTTTTGGGATTTTTGCCCGTGAACCTACAGGCAGTTATGGGAATGTAACATCCTGAATTTGGGGTTTTTGGGATTTTGGGGGATTTTTGGGATTTTTGGGATTGGGATTTTTGCCCCTTCACTCACAGGCAGCTGTGGGAATGTCTCATCCTGAATTTGGGATTTTTGGAGAGTTTTGCCCCTGCACCTACAGGCAGTTATGGGAATGTCACATCCTGTATTTGGGGTTTTTGGGATTTTGGGGGATTTTTGGGATTTTTGGGATTGGGATTTTTGCCCCTGCACCCACAGGCAGTTATGGGAATGTCTCATCCCGAATTTCGGATTTTTGGGATTTTTGCCCCTGCACCCACAGGCAGTTATGGGAATGTCACACCCTGAATTTGGGATTTTTGGGATTTTTGGGATTTTGGGATTTGGGGATTTTTGGGATTTTGGGATTTTGGGATTTTGGGATTTGGGGATTTTTGGGATTTTGGGATTTTGGGATTCCTGGGATTTCTGTGTTTCCCTTGCAGCTGCTGGAAATGTCGTTTAACTGCCTGGAGGACGTGGAAAGCACCGTCCCAGTCAGCCCTTTGCACTTAGCTGTGAGTTCCTGCAGGTCCTGGAAGGGTGCAGGGTGTCCTGGGCTCCTGCTGGGTCCTGGAAGGGTTTATGGGATGTCCTGGGTCCTGGAAGGGTGTCCTGGGAGGGTCCTGGAAGGGTTCTGGGGATTTTCTGGGTTCCTGCTGGGTCCTGGAAGGGTCCCCAAAGTGTCTTGGGAAGGTCCTGGAAGGGTTCTTAGGTGTTCTGGGTCCTGGAAGGGTTCTGGGATGTCCTGGGAGGGTCCTGGAAGGGTTTCCAGAATGTTCTCAGCTCCTGCTGGGTCCTGGAAGGGTTTATGGGATGTTGTGGGATTGTCCTGGGAGGGTCCTGG